GGTTTTTCATTCTTTGGTAAACTTTTCAAGACCTATACCAACTAGTGCTGTTTGGTGTTTATTATTTTGCTTCTTTTCTAATTCCAAGTCAATGGGAGAAACTGTGTGTGTGACTTTCCTTGGTAAACTGATTCTTAGTGTCTTATTCCTTTATGCTCATAAGATGCACAGAAATGCCCTTAGTGGATATCTACCTGCTGCAGTGGCTGGTAAGAATGTTATTCTAAAGTTTGAGTTTCCAGGATAAACTTTTTTAAGTTTATTTTTTATTGTTGACATTATTAAAGATGCCCCCTATTTTCCACCACTTTCCCCCCCCACCCAGTTCCCACCCCACCCCAGGCCTTTGCCATTCTATTGTCTGTGTCCATGGGCTTATGCATATATGTATATAAGTTCTTTGGTTAATCTCTTCCCATCCCCCACAACTCTCTCCCCTGTGAGATCTGTCAGTCTGTTCCATCCATCCTTGCCTCTAGATCTATTTTGTTCGTCACTTTATTTTGTTCATTAGATTCCACATATAAGTGAGATCATGTGATATGTGTCTTTCTCTGACTGGCTTATTTCACTTAGCATAATGGTCTCCAGGTCATCCATGCTGCAGAAAAGGGTAAGAGATACTTCTTTTATACAGCCACATAGTATTCCATTGTGTAAATGTACCACAGATTTTTTATCCACTCATCTACTGATGGGCATTTATCTGTTTCCAGATCTTATCTATTATAAATAATGCTGCTATGAACATAGGGGTTCACATTTTCTTTCTGATTGGTGTTTCAGGATTCTTAGGATATATTTCCAGAAGTGGGATCACTGAGTCAAGCTTCAGTGCCATTTTTAATTTTTTGAGGAGACGCCATACTGTTTTCCACAGTGTCTGCAGCCATCTGCATTCCCACCAGCAGTGTAGTAGGGTTCCCTTTTCTCCACAAACTCACTAGCACTTGCCTTTTGTTGATTTATTAATGGTAGCCATTCTGACAGGTGTGAGGTGATACCTCATTGTACTTTTAATTTGCATTGCTGTGATGATTGGCATAGGGAAATTTCTGGGATCTCTGTTCTGTTCCATTGATCTATATGGCTGTTCTTGTGCCAGTACCAGACTCTTTTGATTATAATGGCTTTGTAGTACAGTTTTATATCCAGTATCATGATCCCTCCAACTTTCTCAAGATTGCTACAGCTATTCAGGGTCTTTTTTTTGTTCCATATACAATTTTGAAATATTTGCTTTAGATCTGTGAAATATGCTGATAATATTTTAATAGCAATTGTATTGAATCTATAGATTGCTTTGGGTAGTATGAACATTTTAATGATGTTGATTCTTCCACTCTATGAACATGGTATATGCTTCTACTTGTTTGTATCTTCCTCCATTTCTTTTTTCAATGTCATATAGTTTTCTGAGGTCTTTTACCTCCTTGGTTAAGTTTATTCCTAGGTATCTTATTTTTTTATTGTTTTTGCAATAGTAAATTTGATTTTTTTTTAGTTTCGCTTTCTGAAAGTTCATTATTAGTGTATAACAATGACATTGATTTCTGTATATTAATTTTGTATCCTGCTACTTTGCCAAATTAATTTATTAAATCTAGTAATTTTTTTGTGGAGTCTTTAGTGTTTCCTATGTACAATATCATGTCATCTGTGAATAATGAGTTTTATTTCCTCCTTTCAAATTTGGATGCCTCTTATTTCTTCTTCTTGTCTTGTCGCTGTGGCTAGAATTTCTAGTACAACATTGAATAAGAGTGGTGAAAGCGTATATCCCTGTCTTGATCCTGTTCTTAAGACAAATGCTTTTAGTTTTTACTCATTTAGTATATTGTTGACTGTAGGTTTGTCATATATGACCTTTATTGTGTTGAGGTATGATTCTCTTATTCCCACTTTGCTGAGAATTTTTGTAAAAAATGGGTGCTGGAGCCCAGTCGATGTGGCTCAGTATTTGAGGGTCGACCCATAAACTAGGAGGTCATGGTTCAATTCCTGGTTAAGACACATGCTTGGGTTGTGGGCTCGGAGCCCAGTAGGGGGTGTGTAGGAGGCAGCTGATCAATGATTCTCTTATCATTGATGTTTCTATCTCTCTCTCTCCCTCTACCTTCCTTTCTCTGAAATCAATAAAAAATATATTTTAAAAATGGGTGCTGAATTTTGTCAAATGCTTTTTCTGCATCTATTGATATGATCATGTGATTTTTATTCTTCATTTAATATGGTGTATCACATTTATTGATTTGAAATTACTGTACCAGTCTTGCATCCCTGGAATAAATCCCACTTGGTCATAGTGTATGATCTTTTTCATGTATTGCTGGATCATATTTGATAGTATTTTGCTGGAAGTTTATTATTATTATTATTATTATTATTATTGCTATAATTTCATTAGTTGTAATCAGCCTTTTCAGATTTTCTGGTTCTTCCTGATTCAGTTTTGGAAGAGTTTCCAGGTATGTGTCTATTTCACCCAGGTTGTCCATTTTGTTTGCATAATTTTTCATACCATTTTCTTACAATCTTTTGTATTTCTGTGGTGTCAGTTGTTACTTTGCCTCTTTCATTTCTGACTTTATATATTTGGGTCCTCTCTCTTTCCTTCTTCATCAGTCTGGCTAAAAGTTCATCAGTCTTGCTTATCTTTTCAAAGAACAAGCTCTTGGTTTCATTGATCTTTTGTATTGTCTTTTTAGTTTTTGTCATTTATTTCTACTCTGATCTTTATTATTTCCTTCCTTCTAGTTTAGTCTTTGCTTGTTGTTCTCTTTCAAATTCTTTTAGTAGTAGGGTTAGATCCTTTATTTCAGCTTTTTCTTGTGTCTTGAGGTAGGCCTGTAATGCTATGAACTTCCTTCTCAGGACTGCTTTTGTTGTAACCCATAGATTTGTGGTTGTTGTGTGTTCATTTTTGTTTGTTCCCAGGTAGTTTTTTATTTCTTCCTTGATCTCATTGGTAACTCAATTTAAATCCATTGTTTAATAACATGCTATTTACCTTTCATGTGTTTGAATGTTTTTGAGTTTTTTTGTTGTAGTTGATTTCTAGTTTCATGCCGCTGTGATCCGGGAAGATGCTTGATATGATTTCAATCTTTTTGAACTTGCAAAGACTTATTTTGTATCCTAACATGTGGTCTATCTTTCAGAATGTCCCATGTGCACTTGAGAAGAATATATATTCTCTAGCTTTGGAATGAAATGTTCTGTAAATATCAATTAAATCCATCTGCTTTATTGTGTAATTTAAGGTTCAAGGTGAATGTGAATTTTCAAACAAGAGGAAGTATATTGAGACCTTACTGTTTGCAAGGAAGAGACCCACCCCTGCACTCTTGAATAATAAGGCTTATTCATAAAGCAAAAACAGTGTCTCAGAAGCTTGTAATTATGCCCAGTAATTCTGTTGCCCTTGTTCTTTGCTCCTTTCTCCAGTCTCTAGGCAGTGACTCTGATTGGGTCAGTGACTTGGTAACCAATGACTATGGAGCATTCCTTGCTGGAATGAAATCAATATTGAGTCCTATTAGTTTTAGCCAAAATAAGACAGTTGTTTTGGATCAATACATATGACGTGTAAACTACAGCTGAGAGAACTTTCTAAAGCTTCTTTGGAACCAAAGCCAGCCTTTGGGGAGGTACAAGTACTTGAGCTTCTTGAACCTGACCAGTAAGGGAATAAAAGATATTTCTGTCTATAAATATGATGGGGAAGAACTAAATTACAGATAAGCTCAAATTGAATTAGTTTGCAAATGAAGGAGAGATAATTGCTCTGCCCTTAAGAAAAGACCTGCAATACTGTTGGGTGGCTTTAAGGCAAATCAATTAACACTATCTACTTTAGTTTGCTTATCTTAAAGTAAATATGATATAAAGTTTTCCTTGCTCAATAATTGTACACATCAGGCATAATGTATGTTAAATGACCATCAATGTGACCCTGGCCAGTATGGCTTAATTGGTTGAGCATGGTCCCATGATCAAAGAGGTCAAATATTCCATTCCTGGTCAGAGCACATGCTCAGGTTGAGGACTCAATCCCCTATAGGGAGCTGCAGGAAGCAGCCAATTAATCTCTCTCTCTCTCTCTCTCTCTCTCTCTCTCTCTCTCTCTCCCTCTCCCTCTCCCTCTCCCTTTCTCTCTCTCTCTAAAATCAATAGAAACCTTTAAAAAATGGCCAACCCTGTATAGAGACAGCAGGTAAAAGTAACTGTTGTGATTATTACTATTACTCTTGTCTGCTCAGACAATAGGAAGGGGACTTTACAATGAATATGCAAGAATCTATAAATTCTTCCTCACTGTACAATGGTTAAGATCATGGGTTATGTGGGATTAAGACTACTTCCTAGCTATGAGATTTTAGACAAGTTATTTAATCTAATGTGACTCAATTATCTCTACTGTAAAATGGGATAAGATTACTTTCTATCACAAAGAGCTCTTATGGGGATTAAATGAAATAAACTAAGTCCTGCTTAGAACAATGCCTGGCATACAATAAACACTTAGTACATGTTCTCTGTTAAGCTATCAATCTTCATTTCATGATTCCTGAAACTGAGGCTCATGATTTGCCATGTTAGTAGGTGGTGTAGGGGGTGCTGAAAGACCTTCTTTCCCTTCTTTTCTCCCTTTTTTTCTTTCCTCCCTTTCTTCCTCATATATCTATTTATTGGATTGGATTGAGATACAGTAATTCCTGCCTAGTTGATTGGGATTTAAGACATCTGATTTCATTTTCTTTTACCTACAGCTCCTGCTTTTGCCAGGGCACCAATAAGTACTCACATATCTTGCTTCCACTGTGATAAAATCATATTATACTTTTGTCTTTTGCCACTAGCCTACAACTATTAGCTGTCATGTTCAATGTCCCAAGTTTCTTATTTGAATCTTCATACTTGAGAAATCAATAAGGTCAAGGAAATAAGAACCAGTGTTTACATAAGTGTTTATTGGACTTTTCTTTATCATCTTTCAGGTCTTGTAGAAATTTGCCTGATGCACCCCCTCGATGTGGTGAAAACCAGGTAAGGTTCTGCATGAACAAGTTTTATTGACTTTGGCTGATATCCAAATTAAGGTCTGTCAGAACACTAAATGCTCGAACTTGTCCCAGGCCGGTAGCTTCTCCCAATAATAGCATTTGTATTTACTTCTTAAAGAAAATACTATTTGACAGATAAAATGTGAACAGTGAAAAGCATTTCTGGATTGAGGTCATCTGAAGGTATATAATATTTTACTGCCTTCACATGACAACCATAAGGTATGATTTGTGGCTAACCTGGTTGAGGTAAATATATCAAAATGATGTAAAAACTAAACTTTAGTGAATTATTATAAAGGACTTTCATTTGGCATTGTATATAACAGATTACTATTTAATAGTCAGAATTTTGGTGTGAGATTCCAAAATTTCAACCAAACTTCTTAAATAGTACTTAAAGAATTTATTCCTATAACTGTTTGCCAATGCAAAGTGCCATGTTTCCAGGAAAATGCATTTGCTTTTAAAATTATCCTATCTAATAAAAGAGTAATATGCAAATTAACCATCACTCCCTCATTCCGTCAGTCCATCACAAAGATGGCGACAGCCACGGAGCTGGAGTGAGCAGGAGGCTTAGGTTGCCCCTGGCGATGGAGGAAGCCAAGCTTCCCGCCTGCCCTGGCCAGCCCAGAACTCCACTCAAGGCTACAAAGTTTCAATTATAGAAGTTAAATAAATCCCAGATACCTGCTTCCAGCCTGCGGGTGTGGCCAGCCTGAAAACTGCCATCAGCCCCTCACCCAGGCTGGCCAGGCACCCCAGTGGGGATCCCCACCCTGATCCGGGACACCCTTCAGGGCAAACCAGCAGGCCCCCATCCATGTACCAGGCCTCTATCCTATATAATAAAAGGGTAATATGCAAACTGACCCTAACAACAAAACGACTGGGAATGACTGGTCACTATGACACACACTGACCACCAGGGGGCAGATGCTCAATGCAGGAGATGCCCCGTGGTGGTCAGTGTGCTCCCACAAGGGGAGCTCTGCTCAGCCACAAGCCAGGCTGATGGCTGCCAGCACAGCGGTGGTGGCAGGAGCCTCTCCCCCTTCCTCAGCAGCACTAAGGATGTCTGACTGCAGCTTAGGCCTGCTCCCTTCTGGCAAATGGACATCCCCTGAGAGCTCCCGGGCTGCCAGAGGGATATCTGACTGCCAGCTTAGGCCCAATCCCCCAGGGAACGGGCCTAAGCCAGCAGGTGGACATCCCATGAGCGGTCCCAGACTGTGAGAGGGCACAAGCCGGGCTGAGGGACCACCCCCCTGAGTGCACAAAATTTTGTGCATTGGGCCTCTAGTATACAAATAAGGGCAGTATATTAAATCTATTTACCAAGAGGAAAAATATTACGGGTTTTAATATGATTGAGAGCATTTTAAAAAGTTAAACCTGTGCCTGAATTATTGATCTCTCTCTCTCTCTCTCTCTCTCTCTCTCTCTCTCTCTTTAATTAGAAGCTCTTAGAATGTATTGAAAGTTTTCATTTATTTGTATTGTTTAAAACCAAGAACACGCCGTAGCCAGCTTGGCTCAGTGGATAGAGTGTTGACCTGTGGACTGAAGGATTGTGGGTTTAATTCTGGTCAAGGGCATACGCCTGGATTGTGAGCTCGATCCCCAGTAGGGGGTGTGCAGGAGGCAGCTGATCAATTATTCTCTCTCATTAGATGTTTCTATCGCTCTCTCCCTCTCCCTTTCTCTCTGAAATCAATAAAAATATATTAAAAAACAAAACAAAACAAAAACCAAGAACACTAATACCTAGGTTGCAACTTAATAGTGAATAGGGACATGCAACAATAGAGGTCAAACAAACCCTACTGCCACAATTAGGAAATACAGTAGTCTCCTTTATCTATGGTTTCTCTTTATGTCTTTCTGAGTAACATGATAAAATCTCACATCATCCTACTCCATCCTGCTCAGGACATGAGTCATCCCTTTATCCAAAGTATCCACACTGTATGTGTAGTATAATAAGGTATTTTGAGAGAGAGAGAGAAACCATATTCATATAACTTTTATTACAGAATACTGTTGTAATTGTTCTATTTCATTATTAATTATTGTTGTCAATCTCTTACTATGCCTGATTTATAAGTTGAACTTTGTCATATGTATGTATAGGTATAACCACAGCACCTGTAAGATTTGGCACTACTCATGGTTTCATGCATTCACTGAGAGTCTTGGAACATCTCCCCCACAGCTAAGGGGGGATTACTGTACTTGATGATTCAGGCTGGTCATTGAGTGGAAATGTTGCTTAATTTATCCAAAGAGGCTGAAGAATCTTAGACTGGTTGCTGAAAGCAAGGAAAGGTGACTGTGGCCTGCATATCATATTACATTTCTAATAGAGGTAGAGAAGATGAGAAATTGGCCTCTGCCGTAGCTCGGGCTCTATAACAAAACAGCACAGACTGGTGGCTTAAGCAACAGGCATTTATTTCTCATAGTTCTTGAGGCTGGGAAATCCAAGATCAAGGTGCCAGTCAATTTGGTTCTTGGTGTGGGCCCTCCTCCTGACTTATAGACAGTCACCTTCTTTCCCTATCCTCTCATGGCAGAGAGAGGGGCTCGGATGTCTCTTCTTTTTCTTATAGGGGCACTAATCCCATCATGGGGTGCCCCCCATGTCCTCATCTAAACCTAATTACTTCCCTAGTCTCATCTTCAACTACCATCACATTTGGGGGTTAGGGCTTCAAAATATGAATTTGGGGATTTGTAAATATTCAGTCCATAACAGCCTCAGGTCACCAAAACCAAACAGAGAGAACAAGACCACAAATTATATTCAAATATGTGTGTACTTCCTGGACTGTCTTTTTTAAAATATAAATAAATTATATTTTATTATTTATTTTATTTTACTTTTTAATAGATCTTTATTGTTAAAGTATTATATATGTCCCTTCCCCCCATTGCCTTCTCCATACCCCTCCCCACAAGACCACACCACCCTACCATGAGGAAGTAAAATTCACTGCCATGTCTTTCTTAGACTTCATGTTATCTTCTTTGAAAAGCCAGAATATTTTTGCTCTTCTTGCTGAGAAATAAAACTGTTTTGTTTTTTCACTTAAGGGAAACAGCCTAAATTTTTGAATTGTTCAAATGAGCATGAAGGAGAAACAAGAATGATTTGAACAAGATATCATATTGAAACTATGATTATTCAGTCACTCAATCCTTCACTCATCCATTTAGCAACATGTATTGAGTATCTGGTATTATTTGGGTTCCAGGCTAGCTTTGCCCTCCAAGAGCTTACAGTCTGATGTGCTAATAAGAATCTCATCACAATGAATTTCAAAAACTATAATACAGTGACCCTTGAACAAAGTAGGTGCCGAACTCCTGCACAGTCAAAAATTTGCATATTAACTACTATATAATTTCTTTATACTGGAATTAAATAGAATACTTCTTAAAATGGATGTGCCAAGTTACTGGGGCTTTATATCTCCTTTGTTATGTAGATATTTTCATGAAAATTGTATTGATTTATTGGAATTAGTCACATGCCCTTGCCGAGCTTCTGGGGGAGGGAAAATAAAATCCGCCCAGGTGCACTAAAAGAGAAGGGAACTGGATACTGGATGGTATTTGACCTGCATAATAATAAAAAGTATATTGAGTCAAAACCCACAATTATAGAGTAAACTGAAAGCCCAAAATATATGCAACTGATTTTGCAATAAAATAGAATACGCAACAGTGGTAGCATTTATCACTGAGCACTAACACACAGGTGATAAGGAGTAGACAGAACTGAGTAAATAATGCTAAAATATTTTCAATATTATATGTATTGTATAGGAGATAACTACATTTATAAATAACATAAACTGTAAACTACAATAGATAATATCTGAAACCATGTAGCATTAGTTATTTGAGCAGGTCTCTTTCCTAAATGACATCCAAGAGCACTGGGTTCCAAATTATTTCAGGGATTGTCCAAGTGGGGCATAGTATACATCAGACCAAACCTCACTTGCTTTATAGATTTTTTATGAGCTGCTTTGCCTCTTCTTAGATATTTTTACTTGAAGGGTGGTGTACTTAATCAATGTAAGTATAGAAATTTCTCATTTCCCACAATATCTCAAAATAAATGTGTTCACTTCTTCAAGTCTAGTCTCTTCTTTTGGCAAAATAAATGTGTTTACTTTTTCAAGTCTAGTCTTTTCTTTTGAGATCCTATTTGTGCCTAACCCTTTTATTTGCTGAGTGAAAGATAACAGATTCTAAAAATGTATTTTCAAATTCTTTCTTCACAGAGCTTTTTTCCATTATTTTTTTCACTTTGTAAATGATCAATTCTGTTAACCCAGGCTGGAGGAATAAAGGGAAGTGGTGGTGTTACCAGAGGCAGGTAGAAGCTGTAACCATAGAAAATCTGGTCTAGTCATAGCTGGAGGCTCAGAGGAGCACCAGCCACTGCCTAAAATTCACTGCCTGGGGCAGACAAGGAGTGTGAGAAATACTCTAGTCTCTCCTTTTCCACACTCTGCAACCTCCCTTCAGTGCTCCTGTATCTGAGCTCATGGAAGCCTGGGAAACCAGCCTCACAGAGGGCAGTCCCTCTGCATAACAGAGCAGAGCAAAACAAAACAAGGGAAGAGTGAGAAATGGGCCTGAAGACAAACAGAACCAAGACTGACATACTATCATTTTATTTTATTTTATTTTATTTTATTTTATTTTATTTTATTTTATTTTATTTTATTTTTAGATCTTATTAACATATTTCATTTAACTCAATATATTTAAATACTTTCACTGAGTAGTAAATATAAAAAGATCATTAGTGAGGTATTAGAAACAATGCTGGCATCTGCCGTGCCCTACAATACAATAGGTTCTTACTTAATGTCATCCATAGGTTCTGCAACTTTAAGCAAAACAGTGCATTAAAACCAATTTACCATAGGCAAATGGATATAAATAAGAGTTAAGTTCCTA